TAAATTGTGCAATTCGTAGAATTTTTTTTAAGTTTAAACAGGATGCTGTGTACATGGTATTCTTTGAAATTTATTGATGTTACGTTAATTTATTAAAGCAAGGTCTGCGTAGTTTGTAGATTCTTTCGTTGCCTACATTGTGCAATTTGTAGATTTTTTTTTAAGTTAAAACATGTCACTGTGTACATGGATTCTTGTCAAATATTTTTGGTTAGAAACTTTACATTTTTGCTATCTAAATTTTTTGCTTTTATTTCGGATTTTTAGCTAAATTGTGTGTTCAAAACGTAGTTTTTGCATGTGCGAAAACTGCGTTTTTGGAGACATTTTAGGCTAAAAGTTCAAAATGTAGACAAAAAATTTAGATAGTAATATGGCAGCGTGAAGTTTCTCGCCAAAAATATTTGGCGAGAAATTTGGCGATTTGAGGGCACATATCAGAGTAGTTCCAAAATTGCCCATGCAATAACTAAACAGTTTTGAATATTTATTTTAACTTTTAAAAAGGGGAAATGCAGATAGATTTTACGTACGCGAATCTTTTCCGGAACAAATTCTAGAATTTCCGGAACAAACTCTAGAAGAAGGATTTTGATTTTGTTTATTTACCAAGGTATTTTGTATTGTATATTTACTTTTTTTTTCCTCAGATGATTTTGAATAAATGTAGTACTTAAAAAAATTTTTTTCAAAGTTTCTCGATCGATTTCGGAAGTGGGGGTCAACTTATACGCGGGTTTCTTAATTTCTACGAATTTTTTTATGTCGAAGTGGGAGGGTCGACTTATACGTGGGTATATATGGTAAATCAAAGCAATTAATAATATGTTGATACACAATGATTGTCTTCTTTTGATTAAACGCTAGATATTCTACAAGTTTCACGTTATATTTAAAGTGAGGAAGCTTACCATAAATCAAAGAATTTACCTAAAGCAGACAGCATAAGAAATCAGTTTTACATAACATTCCAAAATAGCAGATATGAGATATTTCCACCACTTTTGAAATGAGGTAGCATTTAACCTTAAATTGGTACTAATTCAGAGAAACATTGAAAACTACTCTTATACACGCCGATGGTTGGTGACAAATTTCTTGCCAATCCATGGCATATTACTATCTAAATTTTTTGTCTACATTTTGAACTAAAATGTCTGAAAAAAAAAAAAAAAAACATGTTAAAAAAATGTCATTTATTATAAAATCTGAAAGCTTTCAGTTTTTTTAAAATTCTTTTTATTTATTTTTGTTCACTTTTCCTGCAGAGTTATGGCACTTAGGTCTCGGCTAGGACTAGGGACATACATAAATGTTATGTAATTTGAAGAAATTTATTAATTGTTTGCTTAACTAATAATTAATATTAACAGCAGTTTCATATTTTTACATTAGTAAACAAGTGGCTTATCTTGTCTCAGTAATTTTTTTAAAATAGATATTCATTCAGGTGATAACAATCATAGCTCTGTTACAGTGAATCACTAATGCTGGTTGATGTATAACATTTCTCAAATTTAGATTTGTAATCTAAAATTTATGATCATATGAGTGATCCTTTTTAATTTATTTACCATTTTACAGACATAAAATGATAAAGTCTACCTTTAATACATCATCTGGATGCAACCTCTTTAATGTATTGAAATTGCCCCATGCCTCTGGGTGTTGAAGGTTTTAGTTTGCACTTTTTGTTTCTCTTTCTTTTACTTTTAGTTTCAAAAGTATCCTGTTTCATAACATGGAAAGTTGTGACATATTCAAGACTGGATATCATGGTAAGAGAAAGGAGAAACAATTTTGCTTGTAGAAAAAATATATTGTGCTTCAGAAGATACCTAGTGACATCTTCGCAGCTTTTTTTAATAGCCATAGATGTAGCATGCTCAATACAGAATCTTGATACCATTGAGTAAGTCTATTAAAATTTCTAGAAATTAAGAAAGCTAAGTTGATCACAATTATAATAAACATATGCTTAATTTTTACAGCTTTCTAGTACTTAAGACTTTTGTGTTGCCTTTGTTTGAAAGATATCCTGAATTTCTGGTCATGCAAATTGCAGTAAATTTTTTAATTGTAAATACTAATTTTCATAGTTGGCTAATCTTTGGAATATGGTAACAGGTAGTTTGGTGACATTTCGGTAAGGCGATAAAGGTTACTAGCTAGGACTTTAGCAGTGTACATGGATAAAGTCAAGAGCGTGCACAATGCCATTTTTGTGCAATTCTGTGATTTTTTTTTAAGTGAAAATAGGTCGATGTGTACATGGATGATACCGTGTATGTGCAATTCTTAAAAACGCGACAAGCAGTGGGCGATTCTGCACTTTCTCTCAATTTCGCACCTAATCTTCTTCATGATTAAGCACTTTTGTTCCATAAAAGTTCTAGCATAAGCGTAATTCGGCTAGCAGATTGTTGGAAAAAAATGTTGAGTAAAAAGAAAAGAAAAAAAAAAAAAAGCCCTTACTTTGTGAAAACAAAATGGCGTCCAAAAAAAATAGCAGGTTGCTGTAGCAGGGTTGGTCGCCACATTTTCGCCAAAAAATCGCCAAGTTACCATAATCTAAAGATTAACCTCATAGTTTTGTGAATAATGAAAGCAATTAAAGTTTCAATTTTGTTATTTTTATTCCAACTAGCAAAATTATAGAGTGGATGAGAATTTCTGGTGAAGCTAGTCATAATATTAAATACAATTGTAGCAGAAGTATAGATTCCTGAAAATTCTTGAATTTTACTAATCAATTATTAGGCATGCAATGTTTGAAGATTTTGTTCTGCCTGAGTAAACTGCCTGACTAGATATGTAGAATTTTATGAGGATAGATAGCATGTGCAATATTGATGTTGATTACAGATGAAATTGAAGAGACAGAAAAAGAAAAGAAATAAAAAACGAAGAGTGATATGAAATATGATACGAAAAAGTGCTTTTAATGAAGATTGTGTGAAAAAGAAGTAGACTCCTTGTTACGTATGATCTATTTAATGTTACAGTTACATCCATATGCATTACGATTGTAACAGCTTGCATATATTTTAGAAACTTCCTATTAAAGATCTCAACTTAGGTAAGAATATTAGCAAGGTAATCTTGCGTATAATAAAACAGTCATTTATTTCATCAGGGATTATGAGAAATTACTTTGAGTACCTTACTGGATGAGTGGCAAAATAGCAATAAGAATAAATGCATGTCCTCCAGCGAAATAAGAAAACAAGTTCTTGACATTTCCAAAATGACTTTCAAGAAGAGTAAGACATTAAGTCATATTTGAAAGAGTTAGCATATATGCTGGAGTTATAATTTTATTGTCTGCAACATGATGCAATAATATAAGCTGCTGACCAATATCTTTTATTTTCAAAAGATGTACATCTGTTTCTTATTTAGCACTATGAAGTATGGCAAAGTTATAGTTGTCAGACTACTTTATTTCATGACAATCTCAACAAAAAATTCCTTCCCCACTCCTTTTTTAAGTGTGGCTTGCATGTATTAAAGAATTTATTTCTCTTTTCCTATACTGAAACTATTTGCACAAACGTGAATTAATTTCGTTCTTTTAATTTTCACCATAATTTTTTTTAATATACATAAGTGTTTTATCTTCCTTAACGGCAGCAAAATCGAAATTTAGTGAATGTCAGACATGAGTCTAGATTTGACATGTAATCATTCAACAGACTACGAAATGACATTTTCACACTCTTTCTCTTTAGTTTCTCAATAATTAAACTAAATGCCATAAGAATTTCCCTTAAGCATTCTCAGGAACGACCTGAAACTTTACATGACAGTATGCTTTGACACAGCTACATTCCACTTATACTGGAAGGACAGCAGTGATTATCTAGAGTAATAACTACTGATATTTCAGTAGTCATTACTCTAGATAATCACTGAATAACATTTAATTCATATGGATTGGGGGGGGGATTTTTTCTGCATTTAAATGAAAATTTTAATCTAACTGCTGACAAATATTTTTTTATTTTTAAAAGATGTACATTTGTTTCAGTATTTTTATTTAGAGTTATGATGTGTTGCAAAGTTATAGTTGCCAGACTACCTCACCAATTATGAAAATTTCCTGCTTTTTTCAAGTATAAAAATCATTTTGGGTTTGTATATCATTCGATGGCAAGGTGGCATACCGGTAAAAGTTTACAATTGGGTGCCCCTTGTTTTTTGGCGATTCCTTCTTGACGCCAAGATTGGCGCCAGGAAGACACAATTTCAAGATGGCCGCTACACAAAACCAAAATAAAAAGTCAAAGATTTGCATAAACTCTGTGTCCATGTACTCATCGATCTGTTTTCACTTAAAAAAACATCCCAGAATTGCACAAACTAGACATTGCGCACTGTTTAAATTTGTCCATGTACACATCAATCTATTTTTATTTTAAAAAAATCAGGAGGCTAAAGCAAAGTTACACTATCATGGTAACCAGAAATACGATTTCATCGCCAAAATTTTACAAAAAATTGTCGCTAATCGAAGGGACACCCAATTCTACACTAGAGCCGGCATACCAAATGCTAAAATTATTTCTGACCATCAAAAGCTTTATATTTAAAATATGACTTATCATGATTTATTCCTCTGTTCATTATTTTTGTCAAAAATCACGTCAGCAATTTCGAATCTTCTCCAATCGGATTTATTAATACACATCAAAACTGCATATGCTTAAAATCGAAATTAATTCATTCGGGAGTGGATAACTTATTAATTTCTAAATCTAAGAAATTATAATTTCTACATGTGAATATTTACGACATGCCGAAGATTTGAAGAAACATACAAACTTAAATAAAGGAATTACTGATTGCTTTCATTCATATAAGGCTGAACTCTATTTAACTTGATAATATTTTAATATAGGTTAAAAAAATTATATCCTACACTTTTCATTAAGAATTTTAAGTCATTAAAAATGAACACTAACAAATTAAAACTAATAACATATCAGCACATGCCTTACCTCGTCCGTAACACAATCTTTCTCCTACCAAATTTCGCCCCACTTTGAACATTACATTGCATCATGCTTGTGCTGACGTAATTAGTTTCAGTTTACAGCTTTTAGTCTTGGAAAACCATCTTGTCTTTGAACCATGGCAACAAACGAACTACTCAAAGTAGAAAGAAAATTGATTTTGATCTTTACATTGATGACTGCTTTGATCAGATTTTCTTTTATTGCAACGGGGTTCCCATCGTAGTAAGAGCGAAGAGTAATAACAGGGATTATCGAACATGTTAGAAGCCTTACTCTCAAAAACCACAGATAACGAAATCATAATTGAATATTCTCAACAGATGTTTTTTAATGTTTTAAATATTGCTTTGTATGGCCATAATCTTTGATATGGCATCCCGCCCAGTGCCGAGCTTAATCCTAGTATACGGAACAGTTACTTCAAGACAACGTTCTTTAATATTAAGATACTAAGCTTTGGCATACGGTACCAACCAGGGCTAAAGGGCTGGCTCATCAGCTCCTCGCCGCTGAAACCGGAAGAAGAGAGTGATGACGTAGATGGGTCTCTTGCTGCTTTGAGAGTGCCTTATACCACCTTCGGTTTCATGAGTATTTGCTTGAAAATCAAAAGTTTTTGAACAACTGTTCGGTAAATAATATGAGGAAGAGATTTTATCTAATGAAATTACAATGTGTATGGATATATAGCTGACCTAGTAATGTAGCTATGGTCGATTTAATTAAACTATAGTACGCGTAAAATATAAGCCTTAAACTAATATTTAAAGTCGAATATACATTAAATATGGTTAATTTTTTTTCTACAATATTTTTTGAAATGTATGTAAATAGTAACTTATCGATAAAAAACATTGACAAATTTCTATATTTACGAATAATTCTTTTTGAGTTAAAATATCACAAGTTGGATTATAGAAATATCAAATAAAATTATGCAAACGTATTTTCAGAATACGTCCTTACAAACTCATCTGATTAAAAGCTAATGAATGCTAACAACAAATTTCATAATATATTAAATCCAAACAAATTTCACTTCATTTAATTTTGTCTTTCAACTAGCACTGGAAATGAGATAATTAGGTTTTTGTAAGTCTTGACAATGACTATTATGAAAGCATTATTATTGATCATCAGGATTACTATGCAGTGTCCATTACTCATAAATTAATAAAAATATTTTAAATTGACATTTATATACTTTCTTATGAATAGTGTAGTCTTATATTTTAAAAGCATGTATTCTAATGCTAATTTATCTCTATGCAGAATTTCATGATTTGTTTTGTATAGTTTCATAAATAACCAAAAACGCATAAAATAAATCACATAACACATTATGAATAATAAACCAAATAATAAAATCTTATTTTTAATACAATAAAATGAATTAGTTTACATGATTTATTTCCATTTACCTATTTTATGGTTAACTTTTCTTGCCGACACAAGGGATGCATTCCAATTTAAGTGTCAAACTCTTATAACTGTTCATAATCAGCAAAATAAACGAATCGTGTTCTTATTGAGGGACGAAAGACGTTTTTTAAGTTTAGAAATATGATTTTCAATTGCTCCCATACATTTTGAAGAATTTTCTTCAACCTTCGGGGAGGCTTTTTAAGGAAAATTGCTGATATCTACCAATCATTTTAAGCATAATCATTTAATTACAATGCTTTCTGAAGTGTCATTTGGAAACAATTTAATCCGCTTTTGTTTCACTAATGCAGTTATTTGTATTTCGGTATATATGGTTAAAACATAAATTTTCATTTTCCATTTTTTCGATTAATTTTTAGGCCCGAAAGGGATGTTATTCTCGAATGGGATATTAGTCTCGATACGGCATTTTGAGTTGAATAACTGTAAACGGCGTATGCGTTTCAAATTGTTGCCACCAAACATTATCACACTGTATATTATATTTAAAAAAATTAAATAATGAAGAATCTGCATGAATGTATACATGTTTCTCGAACTGTGAGAAAACAACTATACATAGAGCCATCAAATTTTGAATAACATAATCCTCCACCTGAACATGGCCACCTGGAAGCTCGAATTTTGAATATCGTATTTGTTTTATTATCTATTTCATATTTTGTAAAAAGTTTAATGAATTTTTAAATAACAAGCTCAACGATCACAAAGCAAGCAGTGGCAACACTGTACGGAAAAAAGCATTTTTAACTCCAGCGCGCGAGACTGTCTGTCGAAAATTTTAAAGAAAAATGTTTTTAAATATTTTGAGATTTTGCTGTTGAATCGAATTTTATGTGTAGGAGGCGCCAAGAAAGTTATGTTTGATAAAGAAAGTAAACATCAAAACGTTAATAATAAAAAGGCCCAAAAAATTTAAATCCAAATAAAAAAGCCAACTCAGTAAGAAAACTGAACATTGATATGATGAACTGATTAAATACTGGACCCCCCCCTTTGCACTTAAACCATAAAATTCAATTCAACAGAAATATCGCAAAAGGATTTTAAAAATGAGCATCTCTTTAGAATTTTCGATTCAGATTCTCGCGCGCTGGAGATAATTTTTTTGGCGGGGGATACAGTGTTGCCACTGCTCGCATGGAAATCGTTGAGTTTGTTAATCAAAAATTCATTAAAGTGTTACAAAATATGAAATCGATAATAAACAAATTCCAAATTAGGGCTTACAGATGCCCATATTCGGTGGAGGATTACGTTATTCAAAATGTGATGTCTCTAGGTACTGTCATTTTATCACAATGTGAGAAACATACATACATGTATGCAAATTCTTTATTATTTAATTTCTTTAAATATAATGCAGGGCTCTAACATTTGCTGGCAATAATTTGAAAAGTGATACCGCGTTTATAGTGATTCAACGCAGAATGCCAAAACGAAATTAATAGCCCTTTGGGCTTAAAATAATAATAATAATAATAATAATAAAAACAGAAAAACGTATGCTTGCAATGCTGCCATTCTTTCGTCTACTGAAGGTTTCTGTACGGAAATTGTTGAAATATCCCGTTTGTTTGTTTCGTATTATGGTACGCATTACCGCAGGTAGCAACGGCACAGGGCTCCATTTTTTTAAATAATTTCCCGTTACAAACACTAATTCATTTAAAAAATATCCTCAGCTTTAATTTTCAAGTCAAAGAAACCTCTTTCAAAGAAATAAGAAGTAAAGATTTAAGCTTTCGCACTGTGAAGCTCTGGTCAGTAGACAAGGCGACGAACCCAGTGACGTCACATTGCTCCCCAACTGGGTTCCTGTCGGCATCGTTACCCCTCAAACGGATGACCTAGCCCTTCTTTTTCTTTAGCCCTGGTACCAACACCTCCTAGAACTAACGTTGACGGTACACACGGGATTTGGCGACTTCTACTGATATTCAGGAGGCATTTGTTTACGATGAGTAGTATAAAAGCGTCATTTTGGTGTTGGCGAAAATTTTCAAAATCTCGCCAATGCCGTACCGTGTGCTTTCATGCGTATTTTGAAAAATAGGCAAAAAGGCAAAATTACTGACAAATAGGCAACAGGCAAAAATAAAGATAACTTCTGGAGTTTCGTAGAATCTTCATTTAAAATTCTATATTACCAATTAAACTTGAATTTATTAAAGAAAGAGATGGAAATTTTATTTGCACTTTTTTTTTCTTTTTTTAACCTCTTTTTTTAATGTGTGCAATACTCTGAAGCAGAGGCGTAGCTAAGGTTTTCAGCGCCCGGGCACCCCTAAAGGTTTTGCGCCCCTTTCTGTGTTACAAGAATGATATCAATTTGGCGCTCCCTAGATGCTGCGCCCGGGAACGGATGTCCCCCTTGCCCCACCCTAGCTACGCCACTGCTCTGAAGAGAAAATATGCATTTCAAATGTGGTATTTTCACTATCACTTCCTTTTACATACGATAGATGGCACCATCATTTAATCCACATGTTCAACGCTGAAAAACGCTGAAGGTGCTTTACGTCCACTAGTGTGAAATTTTGCATCAAGATTTAATCTGTTATGCAGCAACAAACATGAACATCCCTCTCCCTGTAATTAAAATGTGATTTTCCTTCATTAATTTTTGCACTACTTTGTATTTTTAATTACTTGACATAAATCTTAAAACTACTGCTTTTCATGTGTGTGCTGTTTACCGAAGATATAAATTATTTATGCAGGGCCGTTCCTAGGCCAACATAATTATGATTTGTATATAATTGTATAGCATCTTGTACATAGTATTTTTACATTCTGATTGTATCTTTTAATAATAAAATTTTTGTACTTTGTTTATGTATTTTGTTTATTTCACACTGACGACTTACACACTTCCCGTCTGTCCATGATCGTCTCCTTGCTTGGCTCTGCAATGTTGGCCCCCCGTTTTTACCACCTACCTCTCTTAATTGAAGATTGTACTACTGCGACGTGCCTTCATGGCAATTTTATGGAGCCGGACAAGCGGCCATGTGCTGCATTCTGGCAATAAACAAACAGTCAGTCAGTCAGTTCCTAGGCCACTGGCTGCCCGCGTACTTTCCTAAAATTGTCGTCTCCATATTTAAAAGAAAAAGTTCAATGATTAATAGAAATTTTATTCCATACTCACTAAGTACTTACATATGAGAAATTGCATAAAAAGTGCTCCTAATGAATTTAATGAATTTAAAATATTTTAGGCATGGTATCGCGAGAGTCCGGCCGTCCCTGATTTTGGCTAGGAACTGCCCTATATTTAAGAGAAAATATTTATTTTTAGCTTTCCTGCATATTTAATATCTGGATGAAAAAATCTGGATGACTAAAAGAAGATTAGTAATTTAAAAAAAAAAAAAAAAAAAAACTTAAAATGCGCTGGTCTAAACGTTTTTGCATCTGTTTCCGGATGTATAAAACTACTCTTTTTTTGGGGGGGGGAGAGAAGAAGAAAAAATTAATAAGGTTTGCATGAATAAAGAACTTTGGTAATTAATAATTATGAAATACTTTTCGTCATTTATTTTTTTTTGGGGGGGAGGTATTAAAATTAATTTCTTAATGAGGACTTGTTTTCTTGTTATACATCCAAATGCTTTTTAATTAATAATTCATTAATCTACTTTATCCTGTCAAATCCCATTAATAATCACGTTACCTGTAGCTCAATACCTGATATTTCTGGTCTTCAAGATTGGTTTGGTTTTATTTATTTGTTTATGGCAAAGCATTTGAGGGCTTTCTACCTAAAAGGAGGGATGCCTTCGTGGATTACTTTCTAAGGGAAACTGACTCGTATACGCGTTACACATAGGTAAAACCATGAAAACACCCATGCACCGAGACGGTTTTCCCGGGATTCGAATCCCGGACCTAACTACCAGTGTTCAGAGACTACCGCTCGGCCGCTGGTGGCCCTATGTTCTTCGAGAAGCAAATTTTGTTTGTTTGTTTGCTTGTTTGATTTGTTCTGCGGGAATTTTATGCTTAAATATACAACATAAAAGAATAACAACAGAATCGAAAATGAAAACAGCTGATTATCCTGCGGAGATTCGATAACTCAAAAAATAAATAAATAAATAAATAAATAAATAAAATAAATTAATTAATTAAATTAAATTAAATTAAATTAAATTAAAATTAAATTAAGCTAAATAAAAAAACCATCTATTAAACAAAGTAGGTAATAAAGTTTTCGTGTTTATTTTACTTTTTTATTTATGAACTTTGAACTATGTAAAGGACACT